GGAGATGGATGAGCGGACCTTAAGATACTAAGTATGCGTATTTTTGCTCAGTTAAAATCCCCTCTATGGTTGTAATATCGAAAAGCACCACCCGTTAAATGCCTTACATTTTATTCTAGATGAACATGACTCCCAAACGCGTATGTCGCCAAGCCGTGAAAACGTTCAAACSCAAAGGACGCCAGCAGTTTTCTTACCTTTCGACATAGAAGGTCTCCTCAGTTGTGTGATTGCACTAGCAACTGTACGGTTAATAGCACAATACTGTATTGTGGTCGTAAGTAGGCGCAGTTTGTTCAGTTGGTGGGTTTGTTTCTAATTGGTTTAAAACCCTATTCTTAGGAACACAACGCATAAACTTGTCAACTTAAACAAAAGCTATACTTAACAATAAATGTTCCATGTATAGAATTATGACTGGTTTTGAACAAAGTCACATGTTACCTAATTCTTTTCATCCGAAATAACCATCAGCTTTCAGGCTGTGTAACAACTAACAATTTATTGCAATTATGTTATCACCCCTCACGACTAGACAGGAGTCTGAGGAGTGAAGCCTGCCAGACCTGCCATACAGAAAAGTTACTCGGGGCACATCATGAATAGCCTTTACGAACGGCACAGTATACACCTATCACTTTATCCTTTTTTGGGGGTGGTGGGAGGGGTATCTACGTACATTGTTCATTTATGAGAAACCGTAGTTCAGGTAGTTAAATTATTAAGTTATTTGTCAAACAAGAGATTTAACAACCGACTGAAAAGCTGTCCTGGGATGGCGAGTTATCGGCTAGCTAACGACTTTACAAGGGAAAAGTTAACCCGGACAGAAGGGTTACCCTATCAAACAGACACGTTAACCCTAGCACTAGGGTAACACGGGCAAGCTCGTAAAAGCGTTAAAATATATTACAAGAGAAAATGTATAGAAGCTAGGGAAGCCTTACCTCCTTGTAAAGAAGTCCTTAGACCGGACACGAGCCAAAAATGTGATTTTTGACTTTTGTTATTCATTGCAAATAAAGTCGTTATAATGAACCCTATCAGTTTCAATAACTTCTGCGATAAATGGGTCAAAAATGTTTGGGTCATTTGATTTGGGCTTCCTGTGGTTTAGGCGGCCATCATAAGTGCCTTTGTGCTGAACAAACTGGAGTGAAGCAGCGATGAAGATATTAACTGTTTTAACATGTTGGAGTGCTAGGTGCCCACCAATACGAGGAATTAGTCGTAAGGCAGTAGGAAGAACCTTTGAATTACTTACTGTTAACGCTCTGCAAAAGTACTCTTTCGAGGTTTTGTTATGCGGTGGGTCTAGAGATCGAGGTATTGATTTTCGCGGTGCCTGGAAGCTAAATTCACGTACCATCAATGTCCTTGGCCAATGTAAATGTTATAAGAGAAGACTTGGACCTGTACATGTCCGAGAACTTGAAGGAGCTATTAGTCATGAACACGAAGCAACTCTTACCCTCCTTGTAACAAACACTGGGTGAGTCATGTTGATTCCCTTCCAAACGCTCCAAATGATACATTTCCCCTTATTTCAGAAAAAGAGATCGTTTGTTATTAATGCATATGGACGAAGGCTGCTGATCATTTACCCATAATGCACCAGTGATTTGCTCAATCCACCACAAATCTTAAGCGGTGTGGCATAGACCTTTTCTGAGATAGTGATCATGATGCATTGCATTCTGGTCTGGCATTGGTACAAACATCCTTTATTCATTATGCCTTGTATGGTGTTGTTTGAACCGAAGCTAGACCACAGTGCATCMTTTTAATCAAGCTCAGAAAAGGCCTATGGTGTGGTCACTCCTGCTGCCCACTCCCCATCCATCCCATGCCAAGGCAGTGATCTATGACAACTTTCCCATCCTCAACTTGCCTTTAAAACCTGGGCAAAGTCACTGATTGGCTTCTCACTCACTTCTGCCTCCTGGCGTGGTTAGCTCAGTTGGTTGGGCACCGGTCTGTTATGCAGGTGGACATGGGTTAAGGCCTCCACAACCAGACCAACAACACTCAGGATCTTAACATATCCAAGTAGAAGGTGCTGCCTTTGCTGGGAAGATATCTACAAGTGGTTACACCTTCACCATGGCTAACCATGATGGCCTTGTAATAAAATGGCAATCCCATCTCACTTAGAGATGTTAAACATTATTAGAGGGCTACAAGTTTATCAGAGTGCTAAGTTCACTGAAATAATTAGTGAGGGAGAAAAATGCATGAAAAAAAAAAAAAAAAAATAGGGAGGGAAAATATTTCAATGTCTGTTCCTCTCCACTCCTGACCATCATGCGTGTCAGCCATGCAGGGATTTGCTAATGGAGCATTTAAGCCTCCTTGGTCAATGTTTCACCCCCATACTTTCTATTTGTTTGAGACACATTGAGGACCTCACCCACATGAAGTACCTTCTCTCTTACTTGGAATCAATGAGATCTGAGTTAAGAGGATTTGATTGATATAGTAACTCCTTTTTTTTTTGTTTTTAGTTTTACAAAGGATGCTTATGAACATTTTATGAGTTCCACTTATCCATTAGCATTGACAGTACTGGACACAACGATTCTACATCAATGTGATGAAGAAACACTTRGCCAAACACAAGCCTTAGACACAACACATTTCCACAAAAACAGTCTTTCTTTAAATAACTTAGATGATAAAAATGCAAATGTCTGTAGTCAAGAGAAACCAAAAAATGATTGTATAAAAATAACCCAGACTGATCAGTATATGAAGCAATCATTGCAAGTTGAGCGAGTTTACAAGGAACTTATTTCATCACCGCAAGACCATCATTATAATGTTGATTTGAGTCAAAGTTCCTACAATAACCATGATTGTGATAGACTACCATTACATAGAGGAAATATATCATTATTTGAACTGAATATTACTGCAAGGCAACTTCTGCCAGAAATTGTGATTGGTAGATCACTAAAGAAGTCATGTCATCCAATGCTTTTGTTGCATGAAGACAGTACAAAAAAATAATAAATTTGAAGTTCCAAATTCCATGGCATTAACGTTTTATTGATATAGCATTTCTGTGATATGAAAAAATATGAAAGGGCAAAAAAAATGTAAATGTTGTTATCAAATACTTATTATGTTTATTGCAAACATCCTAGTTGTATTATGAAGACATTTTTCACCTTCATAAGCATATAGATCTGAGGCTGTGCTTACATATGTTTAGGGGTCCAGTTCACATGCGTCTGAGCTATCAGAACAAAATTATATTTATATGCCTAGCCATGCAAATTTTGGATCTGTGTAAACAAAGGTTCCATATGAACAGTATGTTTGTCTGGTGCTGAGTAGACACAGCCTCAGGAGTAAACATCTGACAGAGATGAATAACACAACATCAACATTTYGTGGTTTGGTTTATTTGTAATGAATGATATAATCAGAAATAAGGTGACAGAGAATAAATATATGTTCAAGCAGTATCCTGTACTTTATAGATTACTTATAATTGTTATATTACATTACTATACTATAGATTTGAATCTAAAAATAAATATAATTTTTCCTCTTTAAGTCTACATCCATATCATTCAGAATGAAACCTGCAGGAGTTCCAGTATGAATTACTACACTCTAGTGAGAWTTGTAATGATCGTCTTGCTGATCTCCGGCACCAATGCTGAACTATCAATAATAAATCTATGCAATCATAACCCCCCTCCTAACCTTTTGTCTCCCCTTATTTGATATCAATACTAAATTATTACTTTTATTAAGAATTCATTGATTATAATTATATGAAATTATGCAGTCCTTTATCTTTCTATCATTTTACTGTTGTAGTAATAGGGTGCCACTATTAGTGATTTTAATTAAATACTATGTTGACTATACTCATAAAATAAAGTCACTATAATTACATTCTTCTAAAAGATATCAATCTCATTAGGAAGGTATACAGGACAGAAGAAAGAGGTTGCCAAATGTAAATTAGCAGTCGTTAATTATTGCTAATATTTTGTTCTCAATCTTGCTCTTCATTAGATCCTATTTATATTGCAGAAAGTTGAAGGCCTCCCTAAGGCTGATTGTACGAAGGGTGGATAGCACTATCTAATGGATAGTCAGTGCTGTTATCCAACGAATTATTACTCTGGATAAGATGGCACTATCTACCCTTCATACAACTGGACCCTGTCCAGGTAAAATCTTATGCCATATCCATAGGTTTGTGTGAAAATGAAAGCCTTATTGTCATATATAATTATAATATTATTAGTGGTTTGTCTTCAACGAAAGAAAAGATGCACTATTAATAATAYATTTATGTCAAAATAATATTTCTTGCAATAATACTTAGTTATTATTTTTGTCAGGAATAGAATATTCTTACCACAACATTCGATTTTTTCTGTGTTTAGCATGCTAGTAAACTTATTTCAAAGGCAGAGTACAGCTATACGTATAGTGTGGACTAAATTAGGGCAATATGCAGCTAAAATAAATTGAATGGTAAGGGACTACTCATTTATGAGGGGAGGGGGGCCTATGTGGATTGTCAATTTTAGGATCACTCTAAAATGAATATTTAACAATGGCGAATTGATTATCAGTGAATATTTACTGAGCTGTGAGTCTCCATTCACTAATAATCACTGARCTGGAGGCAAATAATAATATTGTTTTTGTATCATTACGAAGGTAATTTTTTGAAAGAAAATAGACAAAATAAGTTTATTTGTAATAAAATTGTCTATTTATTTGAAAGGGTATCCAAATAGTTGGAAGTTTACCAATCAGCCCAAACATATTTTTATGACCTTGATAATTTACCTTATTTTTATTTATCTATTGACATTATACTATCTGACTTAATATACTAATGATACATCTAGTAAAATATAATGACCCCAGTTATTTGCTAGCCACCCTAAGTGTAGACTCAGATTTCAGCCGTTGGGGTTTTGTGTTCCCGCGATACTCTCCCTGTAACAGCTGGGCGCATGGGATTGACATTATGTTTCTCAGCCAATCAGCAATCTGCCCCTCGAAAGTCAAAGTGCATAAATAAATAAATCAAAATTCATTCTGAACAAAATGGCGGACGTATCACTCTTTTAAAGTGCTTGTGCCAATGCTTTGAAGTCTTTTAATTTCAGTGAATTCAAGGATGTTCAACTCAAGGCGTTGAAGTAAATAGTCCTTGACAATGATGTGTTTGTAAATCTACCCACTGACTCTGGGAAATCACTGATTTTTCAAACTCGTTTTCGATCACTTGGATCGATTGTTCTTGTCATCTAACCTCTGGTTTCTCTTATAAAAGACCACCTTTTATCAGACAAGAGCAAGATGACGAAGCGGTGAAAGCTGGCRTTGAAGAAGGGAAGTATGAAAAACTTGCAAAAACACTTTGACAATAAGGTGTCGGGAACTTTATTTACATTACAGCAAATTTCACTCTTCCGCTTTTATATGCTAATTACATAATATGTCACGGACATGCACAACACAATGTCAATCCCATGCACCCAGCCTTTACGGGGAGAGTATCGCAGGTGTATGAAACCCAACTGGCTGAAATCTGAACCTACCCTAAGTGCTGCCTGAAAAAAAACCCCTACAGGGTCCCCTCGACCCATAAAAATGATCCCTAACCTGCTAAACATGGGACTCTGGTGAATCTCGATATACTGTCATATGTGTTTCAAAATTGTAGCATATGATATATATATCATATACGAGTAATAAACCAGGGGGGGACTCTCTTGAAAAGTGGGTAGGGGGGCTTGACGGATGGTTTTGAAAATGACTCTAAAAGGTACGCATAAATTAACTGAGATGCTGATTTCAGACCCTAARAGGTACGACCACATTTAAAATGACAACGTTTCCAACCATCATATTCTTGTGCGACGTTTGATATTTTTCAAAACGAACAAATCTGACCCTAAAAGGTAGAGAGTCAGCCGGGAGTCAGCCGGAGACCCTAAAAGGTGCGCGAGGTCTCAYTTTCGACCCTAAAAGGTGTGTCAAGCTCCCCTCCCCCCTGGGGTAATAAATTAGTAGACACTAAAACAAAATATGCAGTTCATGTAGTTATAGATATTATATGTTAGCTAGGATTGCCTCTCTCTCTCCTCCTTCCCAAAACTCCCCATTAGTCAATATACTTGTATGAAGGTTCATTTTATACTATCTGACTTAATATACTTAGTATGAGAGCAGGCTTATAATGGCTAACACAGTCCCATAGTTGAGATATTCTATTTCATGAGATTTTTTAATTATAAGCATTAATTTTATACAAAGTAAAGAGCTTGCATCCGTGTTAATGGACTGGGCAAAGAAGCCCTTTCATTGCATCTTTACATTAATTTAGTTTGCTCATGAGAGACTATTTATAGAATTATTCAATTAACATTTGGACAATAAAGGCAAAAGCTACTGCCAACACAGTAAAACCTATAAAGAAGACTACAGCCCAGTCATTATCTGTTAGCTTCTTACTCAACTCCTTGCCATCAACATCACTATCTTCTTCCCCTTGAGTAGTGGACTCAGACATATGTTTTTTCTTTCTGGGAGATTGGGTCTTGATAGCAACAATAGGACTAAATACACCTTTAATTCCTGAGATGGAATCTAGGCTATCATCATCAAGAGGTTCACACCGTATATAACGTATTGAGCATACCCTAAATCGATACTCCTTTCCTGTATCAGAATTGTTGATGGTGATGGAAGTTTTCGGGCCTTCATATGCCTTTAACAAGTAACAAATAATAAATCAGAATATAAAATTAGTTGCCATACTAGCTGCCTCACCTTATAAGGAATGTGGAATGAAAAAAACATTTCCATGTAATATTTTGAAAAAATAAATGAATAAATGAATAATATTATCATAATCCTCTTACCAAAACAAAATCCTGATCCTTGCCTACCACTTGGCTCTGTAGTAAGTATTCAATGGTATCACCTTTCCTGATTTTCTGAACAGGATCCCAACTGAGGGTAAAAGATGTGGGACTGATTATCTCAGCTTTAAGACCTATGGTAGAATTTACCAAAAAATAACACAGCTTAGTGGAGATCATCAGTGAGGTGACCAAGTGGGGGTAAGGTTTACTGTAGCTTCTAGATAAGATAATGTCTAACTTCTGTAGTAATCAGTGATTTCATGTAACATTTGATGAACATAATTAAAAGATATACAAAATCCCAAATAGCCAACTGTAAGTCATTGTATCTGCAATAGCATCGACTGTGAATACCTTTGACAGGCAATGGTGGTTGTTCAGTTGTCTGAAAACTGTAGACCTCAGAGTAGGGTCCTGTTCCTGCTTCATTGCTTGCTTGAATTCGGAAGTGATATTCAGTTCTTTCTTGTAGTCTTCCAACTTTATGTGATGTAGTTGACCCACTGAAAACCATCTGAATGCTTTAAAGAAAACCAGAAGGAATTAGCATTCTTCTTCGTGATCCTGTTTATATTTTTAATATATTGTTAAATCAAATTGAAGCTTAAAATCTAAGCTAAGTTTTTAAGCTTCTCAAAGAAAAGTTGAGGGTTATAGAAAAGGAATAAAACTATACTCTTATTATTTGATATTCATTCATTTGCTCACTAATTATTGACTTACTTTCCACTTTGATCAAGCATCTCTAGAGTGTAGGTTACTCCAACACTGTCTTTGTTTCCTGATGATCCCCACTTCAGCTTGAGGCTCTGGTAAGAAGCTGATGCCAATTCTAAAGCTGGAGCCAGGGGAGGTAGATCTCTTGTGGCAGCCACAATAAGGGGACTTGAATGGAAAACAGACTTATTAAAACATTAATGTCTTCTCTTGTCAACTGTCACACATAGTTATCAACAAAAAACTATATGTATTATRACCACAGTAATAGAATAATAATTAAGTTTGTTTCTTACCTGAAAGGTCCACATCCTATTTTATTAACAGCTTGAACTCGAATTCTAGTTCAAGAAAGAAAGAAATGGTTGAAAGAAGGAAAGATGTTTACGGTCAAGGAAATGAAGACTGTATTATTCACTTTGGAATTTTGCAATTCATTCTTTGTTTTCATACTTCCATTAATGTATTTGGAAAAATAAATTCAAATCTCAAACTGTATTGCACATTTGAGATGGAAAAAAATGAACTGTCAAAACAGAACAAAATAATAGCCAATAAATGGTAAGCTTGACCAAATTCCAACATGCCATGAGCACCTGATACACAAGGTGTAATACATGTTTGTTGTCACTGCTTGTTAAAATTTGAATTTATTTTGATTTCATCAAGAAAGATTGAAACAACCAAATATTTAATAAGGAACTAAATAATGCAGTCTTAGGGGGTTATTTTTCAGTAAGAGTGAATTGAGGTCATTTACCAGCTTGGAGGTTTGGATAGGGAAAAAAACTGTGCCCAAGGTCTGGCTGACTGACTGACTGCCAATGGATGATTAAGGTGACTGCCTACTTTTGGAAAAAATATTAAACTTTTTTTAAAACTTTGATTTTCTGAATTGAAATGCTGAGTCCAAATCTGGAAAGAAAAATTGGGTGTCCAAGTACTCATTTTTGAGATAATCAGCATTTAATGGAAGCCTATGCGCGAGCTTTTGGAGCAAAAATTGCGCCACCGGAAGTGAAAAGAAAAAAATTAAGATTCATGAGACAATTATAGTTATTTGCAGACTCTATGATTGCATAAATGAAGGCTAGTCAATCATTCTACAATAATACATGGATATTTTCAACAATAAGACAAAGAGATACATTGATTTGTCATATTTCGTGGGTTCGGTGCTCTTAAAAAATCAAACAAAATTCCCTACRAAAATCTATTTTTTTAAAAAATGTTGATATGACCTAATTTTTTAGGAGTTTTTTCAAATGAGCTATTAAAAAATAGAGAGTCCCGTGCAAAATTTGAGGGTTTTGGCCTGCTGAAGCTCAAAACAAGTATGGTTTTGGGGTTAAACATCGTGGGCTCAAATCGAACGCTCAAAAGTAGGCAGCMACATTAATTCATGACCGATAATTGGCCAAAAATGCATAGCAACTAAACGGTCAACACTCAGCTGATTGAACATGCCAGCTGGTCATAGAGTACATAATTACCCAAAGGAAGATATTACAAATGAAACAATTTACTATAGTACATATAATTTAAACATAACATTAAAAAATGCTAAACACTGCAAGGAAGAGGCTAGGAAGAAAAGTGGATGAAACACTTTACCTGTAAGGTGTGTTTGGCTGTAAGTCAACTACATCATATTCCTGAATCTGACTTTCTTCTTTCTCCTCTTCATTTTCATTATCAAGTTCCAGATCATAACTTATATTTCTAACACCAGCTATTTCAATATTGTATGATGTAATACATGCTCCATTATTGGCTGGATGCCTCCATCGTAACCGCAGGTGAGATGAAGACTGATCTATCTAAAACAATCATCACATTTGACATTAGTAGTTGGTAGATATTTAAAATACCTTAAAGTTCTAAGTCTTCCATTATCCAAGGACAAATTTTAATCTAAGTATCCGATCAACCAACATACCATTCTAACAGAAGATACAGCAGCTGGTGAAGCTGGAGGGGTGTGGCATGTACTGACTGGGCTCCATGGACTATRCCCTGCTGAGCTCAAAGCCTGAAAGAAATAAGTGAAATGAAGTAAGCTTAATTAAATATTATTCATTCTTTCAGCATTAATCACACCATGTGGTGCGGGAGGTTTTAGTTCAAGTCATGGCCAGACCAACATGCATGGTCTTAAAATAGCTGAGAAGAAGGTGATGCCTTTGTAATTTCCTGTCCAAATAGTTAGACCTCCAAGTCTTCTCAAATGACAAAATTACTGTAGGCCCCATCTGTTTTCACTACATTCCTGCATTCACTACATTCCTGTATTATGGGAAGCACGGGTGGTGTAGCGGTGAGAGCCCTCGCCTCTCGCCAATGTGATCCGGGTTCGAATCCCGCTGAGCCCGGCATCGTATGTGAGTAGAGTTGTTTGTTGGTTCTCTCATGTACTTCGAGGATTTTCTGGGCTCCCCGGCTTTCCTCCCTCTGCAAAAATCAACTACTAAATTCCCATTGGAATGAAGTGGATGAATAGCTACTCTGTAGAAATGCCACTGTTAAAATCCCATTTATTTATTATTTTTTTATAAGGCGGATGTAAAAGATTGACGGAAGATAATAGTGATGACTCTCTTCAGCGCCTGTTCTAACACTAAAGGTCCAACAGTAATTGGCAAAAGCTGTTGTGGTGTCCCTGCCACACTATTAGAGAGAGTGAAAGCAAACTTTTAATTCACTTTTCCTAGTCTAAATAGCGTTGGCAAGCAAGAACTAGATTGATAGTTACTTTCATTGATTGGTAACTGACCTTTACTCTAAAGTAGTAGTAGCTTGCAGGACTCACTCCTTTTCTCAGTTCAAATGTCTTTTCTGTACCCATATATAGCTGTGTATGAAACAATTCTTTTGCTTACAAACAGTTTACTCTGTTAACTGAAACAATAAGTAATACTTGGTAAGGAAAGTATTTATTATCTCACCTCAACAAATGTTCCTTCCTCCATCATCTCCAGGGTATAKCCTGTAACTGGAGCACCATTTTCAGCAGGTGCCTGCAACCAAACAACATCTTTGTCATTGTGAAGAAAAAAGTAAATTGATTCCTGATTAATGGATTTGTTTCATGTTTCATCTTATATGATTGACCACTCCAGGGTGGACGGTGAAAAGTCTTAAAAGTTTTTCAGCCCACTTGATAAGGTAGCAACTAGATCAAATTAGAATTTGATTTCTGAGGAGGGAGGAAAACTGAAAAAAAAAACCAGGTTGYATTGGTAAGAGTTGGAGTATTAGCAAAGCATAATACCTGTGTTTCCCGAGTGTTTACAAATTTTCCGAGCATGACAAGTTCATGCACAGTACTTAAGATTTAAAATCAGTTATTCATCACGGCATCATGTCTGCAGGGTTTTAACCAATAATCTGACCATACATGCATGTAGAGAAAGGCACATTACATGAATGAATGTTATCAATCAGTTCATCTCATAGGTTATTCTCAAGTAATTTTACATAAACTATATCAAGATAAGCTTTTAGGACTGCGTCCTTTAACCTGCATTACATTACTAACCTCCCAAGTAATCTGTATAGCAGCTGCTGACCTACATACTGTTTCTGGTGCTTTAGGAGGGTCTGGAGACCCAGGAGCTGTACTTAATTCAGAAATGATTGATGCTTTTCCAACCTAATCAATYATAAAATGTTAAATACAAATGCATGTTCATTTGATTACTACAAAAAGGAATACCTACCCCAGCCTCATTTGCTGCTCGAAGACAAAAGGAATATGCTCTGCCAGGCTGTAAACCACTGATTGTACACAAGTTATCCACCCCATGGTATATCTCACGGAATTCTATACAAAAATAGAATAACTAGATTAACTATCCCTTTAATATATATTTACAAGGATAGAAATGTAAATATATATTTTATCAAAAGCAATATCATGACAATAATACACTATCCCTTTTATATTAAACATAATATCAAAATACTGATATAATGCACTCGCTAATTTGACTGGCTATCATGATTATATTAAGACAGAGACATGCTTGTGCAAAATTTTCTTGTGCTCTACAGCTCCCAGCATGTTYATATCACAGTACAGAGATATGCACACCTGTTTTATATAATTCCTTAAATAGCTAATATAATGGAGTAACAAATACCCAGGGCATGTGAATGGACATACCTTTAGAATTCATCTTTTCTACTTCCATGGACAATAGGTAAGCAGTTATTGAAGCTCCGCCATTATAATCTGGGGGATCTGAATAAACAAATCAATCAATGCGAAAATAAATTCAAGCTGACTTTAATATGCATTGGCAGATCACTTAATAGACTGATAAATTAGACTTGCATTAGACTAATACTGTATCAGTTGAAGATAATCCTATTTACCCCAGTATAGATGAAGTGCATTGGGTTGTGGTTTGTGGATTTTTGATAAGATTGGCGGGTTAGCTTGTCCTGGACACACAGGTGTAGTACGTATCTTAGATATCCGTGACCACTGAAATGTATTAAAAATAATGTATAAATAAAGTATATATTAAACATAATTAAATTATATGTCAATTGCAAAAGCTTTGGTTATTCTCTCTAAAGCTATATGACTGTGTTATTTTGACATCTAATCAAAAATTGGGCCAATGTTTACCTCACTTGATCCTCCATCGCTCAAACAAGCTACTCGAAGTTTGTATGAAATCCCTGGTGACAGACCATTCAAACTTTGCTCGCAGTCTGGACCACTGTATACCTCTTTGAAAGGACCACCTAAAACCAGATACAGAAGTCAATCAAAAAATGCAGCTGTCGATGAAGAGTAAGATATTCAGTAACCCTAACCATAAGGTACTTGGACTGTTTAAGGGTGGGAAAAAATATTCAATTTTTGGTCAATCCCTAACTGCTACTGTAATAGTTAAATATGTTTTTCATGGATTTAAGTCCATACTACAGCGCAATGCAAAATAAAAAAGCCAAAAACTTGGTATCTATCTATATAATGGCAGCCATTTTGATTGAAATATGAGAGAAATTAATATGACTTGACCTTTCTGGGTACAGAGTGTTGACAAACATGACTAGCATTTCGGAGATCACGAGACATGAATTACATGCGTTTTTTGTGAAATTTCTTCCTTTAAATGCACCCTTTTAACTAAATAATAATATATCAATAGTAATATATACCAAACAGCAATTACATAAGACTCGAAATAGTAGTTTAGGCCCCAGTTTAGTCGCCATGACAAGTCAACATTCAAATGCCTCATGTTTCACTCTTGGTACAGCGCACGCGTCCAGCTGTTGCTATGGATGACATCATTTGTTTAGGGACGCCATACTGACCTTGGATGTAAGCACATGTTTACAACAATTTACAATGCAAAACCGATAGTTTTTGTGGTTCAATCGACTTGATATTGTGAGTCATGATGTAGTTCAATGTCAGAAACAACATGGCGGAGAATTCTTACATTTGAATCCAAAATTGAAGAAGTATAGCGACTTTAGCACATTAAAGCACCACTCTCCACATACTTTCTTYGGTAAACTCTTTTGTATTTATCATACTGTCCTTAAATTTGGAACCAAGCTTAAATAGACCTTAAAGATTAAATACTAGGAAGCCCAGAGCAAAGACCTATTTTGATAAAATTTTACGACTGAAAACCTTGTCATGATAGTTATAGCTCGCCAAAAACATATTTTGCTCCGGGCTGCCTTGGTTTTTTTCTGTATACAATTTATTTTCATAGCTGAAGTTTTATATTTCTTAAACATTTTCTCAAGCGAAATATTAATAAACTATCGAAAAAGAGCCTTGGGTTGCTTGCGTTTTTTTGACACATTAGATGTGAAATTTGACACTTTTAACATGCAATTTGGAAAGAAAATTTTATAAATATCTTTATTATCAAGTCACTTCTAGAATATACTGAATACAATTTGAACAAATGTTGTCCAACTGACACCCACTAACTTAAGCCAGTCCAACTACCTTAAAGAAGGCATTTAGTATTATATTACTCTGTAACTAGCATGATCAAAGGAATGTGCAATTATCATGCCCATGACCACTACACCCCACAAAGGGACCCATTCATCACAATTACAATCACTACTACACCCTGCAAAGGGACCCATTCATCACAATTACAATCACTACTACACCCTGCAAAGGGACCCACTCATCACAATTATAATCACTACTACACCCTGCAAAGGGACCCATTCATCACAATTACAATCACTACTGCACCCTGCAAAGGGACCCATTCATCACAATTACAATCACTACTACACCCTGCAAAGGGACCCTTTCATCACAATTACAATCACTACTACACCCTGCAAAGGGACCCATTCATCACAATTACAATCACTACTACACCCTGCAAAGGGACCCATTCATCACAGCTCATTATGAAATAACTGTTATAAATGTCGCATTCTGATTGGTTGGGAGTGAGTGCTTTATAAGAGCTCACAGCAACCACACACCCTTTGTATTTTATAAAAGAAATAAAAAACTTGCTTGCTGTGCTGTGTGGAGTTATGAAGCACTTGGGGATTGGCAAAACACTCGAGAAGTGTCGAGAAGTGTCAAGAAGCACTCTGCTATGCATCATGCTTCTCCTAACACTTCTCTCGTGTTCTACCTATCCCCTGTAAAACTGTTTTATAACTGCACACATCACGCACACACGATTTTTGTTTCTTTATTACAACCATCACTACACTCTGCAAATTGGATTTCAATAAATTCTTCAAGGTTGTGATGGAGTTGACAAATTGAAAACACAGTGTTTTAAAAAAACAAATTTCTCATGATAAAAACCAGCTATTACCTTTGCCATCATCCATCTCTAGAATAAATCTTGATATTACTGTTCCACCGGTGTCTTCAGGTGGATCTAAAGTAATACCAAAATACATGTGATGTTACATGGTAACTTATAATAATTATTTACATGTAGTTTAGATTGGACATGAAAAGAATAAAATATTTTTGTCCCCATTGCATTTATATTATTATATTTTATTTACTGATGATTAATTGTATGCTGAGTAAAGTTTTATACTTACCCCAGGCTACTATAAATGAAGAGACCTTGGGCTTACCAGATAGCAATGGAGGTGACGGACGACCTACAACAAAGTGAGGAGCATACATTTTTATTAGCCTGGTATAATTAAGAGTGTGTCAGTATTGATTATTTGTTACCAGGCCGCTCTGGTGTTGTAGTGAACATAGCTACTTCACTCCATTTGCTACTACCCTGGTTATTAATTGCAGCAACCTGAAACAATAATAAAAAAGAATGTACCCAAGATAACTAACATTTAATTGCATATAATAACAGAGGTAATTGCGTACTTCATGACCAGCCGACACAATGTTGGTCGACAGTCGCCCGAGTTGACTGAGCGTTGGCCGACTATCGGCCATGTGTTGAGCGAGCGCTGGCTGACTATCGGCMATGTGTTGAGCGAGCGTTGGTTAAGTATCAGCCATGTGTTGAGTAAGTGTTGGCGACTATCGGCCATGTGTTGAGCGAGCGTTAGCCGACTATCGGCCATGTGTTGAGCGAGCGTTGGCTGACTATCGGCCATGTGTTGAGCAAGCGTTAGCTGACTATCGGCCATGTGTTGAGTAAGCGTTGGCTGACTATCGGCCATGTGTTGAGCGAGCGTTGGCCGACTATCGGCCATGTGTTGAGCGAGCGTTGGCCGACTATCGGCCATGTGTTGAGCGAGCGTTGGCCGACTATCAGCCATGTGTTGAGCGAGCATTGACTGACTATCGGCCATGTGTTGAGCGAGTGTTGGCTTACTATCGGCCATGTGTTGAGTGAGCGTTGCGTGGCTATCTGCCATTAATATGTAGAATATAAAGAATCCTTGAAATTTACAGAGGTTTTTGGTTTTACATAACTGACTCACTGTCAAAAAAATGTTTTATTTTTTTTCAAGTAACCAATAACATATGTCTTTGTTTCAAAGAATAAGAACATTAATTTTCATATTTATCACAACATATTTGATTAGTAGATAGGCTAGGACCTCTGTGGGCAAAACTATATGCATAAGCAAAACGATAGTCTGCGAAATGGCTCTGTGCAGGGCAGGTTGGCAAAACACAAGTGGTGAAGTGTTAATAAACAGTCAAATTTTTGGCCAATAGTCAGTTGAATATTTATCACAACGTATTTGATAAGATACCTTTACAGGCAAAACGACACTTAGGCAAAACGATCGAAGTGAAATGTTGGTGAATTGACGGTTAAGTGTTGGTCAACMGTTGGGTGACTGTCAACCAACAGTGGGCAATAGTCAACCGACATGTGTTGGCTGGTCATGAAGTACATGATTACCAATAACACCTATGATACCACCCCAGATAAAGAATCAGATCTTAAAAGAAATAGGATACAAATTATCAATAACGATAATAATAATAATAATAACAACAACAACAACAGCAACAGCAACAAAATTATAATGGTAGAACTAAATTGTACAGAAAACAGCATATACTAAAACTACTTAAAACAGTGTGTATATTCAGAGAATGTACTACTGACAGTGAGCCAGTTTCTAGTCTAATGTACTCACCCTAAATTTGTATGAAGTATTCCTTTTCAGTTTTTCGATTTTATTACGCTGTTCAATTCCTCTGTATGCTACCATAAATCCATATGCCTAGAATAACAATACAACAAAATAAAAAGAACAAAACATTACATTCTAATTGTCTGTAAATGTCCTTAAGCACAGAGTAAAAAGTTTGGAACTTTACTGAAATTTAGACGTTATTCATATTGGTCAGCGAGGGTAAAAATGTAAAACAAAGTAATATATATATAATAAGTCCAAAACTGCAGACAGTTCCWAACTTTTTCTTCAGTATTGACCTAGCTCTTGATGTAAGCCAGCTCAGATACACTTAGCATCAAGTTTATCTGATCTCATCCTAGGTAAGTCATCTATGTCTATGACATGACACTATGGACTGTTCAGAAACATTTATTGTTTGAAGCAACCATACTGCACAAGGTTATTGCTCATCTGATCACATAATCATTCACTACATCGTGCTGCTTCTTTCAGTCACACCAAAGTGACTTATACTATGTGTTTAACCATTAACAACACTACAAGAAACTCACCGTGTTTTTGTCTTCCATTTCTAATAAATACTCAGTTACTTCAGCTGTAAATGAACAAAGAATCTTTGTAGCTTTGTAGTCACTCTTTGTAGAGCGACTTTTTGAAAAAAAAGTAATTAACTGAACTCCTTGAGTTAGGTTACAGGTTTGATTGATACTCACCTCCATTACTTTCTGGTTTATTCCATGATAAAACCAAGTAATTATGTCCTGCCCTCTCAAGATGAGGAGCTTTTGGACCATCTGGAACACCAGCACTTGTGAATGTAATCAAGTCTTTGCTGAATTCACTACAATCAAATACGATAACATTTATCTCACATTTAATGGTTGATATCGATCGTTATATGTCAAAACTTTTAGCTGAAATTTGTGAGCAATGGTGTTGCTAGACAAGTTTCAGAACTTATTGCTATGTAATCCCCCAGCTTTGTGAAACTTTTGTTACCACCTTCTTACCTTGCACCTATATCATTCATAGCTTGCACCCTAAACAAACATTTAGTTCCTGGTAGAAGCTTGTGAGACAGTTTAAACTGTTTTTGGTTACCACTGTAGGCTTCATAGTACTTCCCTGTGCCTTCCCCCTTGTCCCACTGTAGCTTAAATGTCTTGATGGGTGATCCATGGTCATTTGGTGCCTTAATCAATAATAGTAATAATATTATCGTTATGATCTAGATGCTCACTAGTACAGTTTCTAAGTTCATTAACACACATCACTCCAGACTTGGATAAATAAATGGCAAAATAATATCCTAATACTCCTAAAACAATAGAGTGTGTGCAACCATGTGACTCAATTAAATCCTTGGAGATATGAATAACAATGAAACAGCCACAATCTTGGTTGATCTAACAAGAAAATAAATAAATAAGCAATGCCTTGTTATGGCGGGCAATGACGTAACATGCACCTGCTCTATAGTACGGGACTTATAAGAAAAATTTCAAAATACATAAACAAGTTTAATTTTTATAACATAAATTATAGAATTAAATTATCAATACGCTTGATTCTTATGATGCCTGAAACAACCCATAGAAAACGCACATAATTTGAAAAATTTAAGCTCAATATTCTCTATACTAAATCTTTAATCTGTAAAGGATTTCGAATCTACAGATGTAGTATTGAGCAAGTTAGAGATTCTAACAAAAAAAATCYCTAAAACATTTTCGGGGAAAATAAATCCTACATTTGACATCATTTTCAAAATCCAAAATTCACTCTTGATCGTTTTTTTCTTCAAATTTTTATTTGGACTTGAAAATAACCCTTACACAGTAGAGTTCAGACCTTGGCTTTTAAYATAATCCACTGTTGAACATCATCCTTTATTTGTATAAAACTTTGGCTAGGAGTCAATTGGTAAAGCAATAGGGCGGTCCTTCATGAATTTGCAAGATGTGATCCTATTGGACTCGGCACACATGTGTAGAACAATAGAAAACAATGACCTTTCCCCAACCCCGTCCCTAAACATAACCAATCACAAGGGACGTTGCAAATTTGTGAAGCGTAACCCAAGCAAGAACACAAACTTTGAGTTACTGGCAAAAACCACAATTACATTAATATTATAATTATAATGCTTACGTTCCATTTGAGATGGAAGCTTGTCTTTGTCTTATTGATCAAGTGAGGAGCAGAAGGAATTGCTGGTGCTGCACTAGGGGTCTGGGCAACAGCTTCAGGAGAATAATCTCCTTTGACTTTATCCTTGATGGCACATAACCTTCACATAACAAACATAAATTAATTCAACAGCTGGCTTGGATTTTTAAAGAATTTTTTAACAAAAAGAAAACCATGAAGGAGTAGGGGTAAGTTATATATAGTTTGTGTGAAACCGTTACATTGTCTTATAGTTGGACATTCAAGGTATGTACCTTTATTACTATTATTAACAGGTTACCTGTGGTAAACCGGTCATAAAATACTTTTTTTTCTGAATGTTTATAAAGCTTTGTCACGAGAACCTAATTACGTATACCAAAATCCAGACTAGACTATTGGAATTGGAGTTCCAGATTGAGTTATTTGATGACTTTGATTTTGACTGTCRTTCAAACTTTTGCAACTTATTTCCATTTCTCCTTTAGATTCTAGACACAAATAATAGTAAACCATTCCAACAACCAGGCAACCTGGTCTACCCTGCATCCACATAGATTACGAATTTTGGCACTTTGAATCTCATTTTCTGATTGGCAGGGAGATTGAGCTTTATCAAAGCCCACACCAGTGACATGCACACACTTTCTGTCTAAAATAATAGCTTCTGTAGTTTGTATTTTATGAAAGAAATAAAAACGCACTTTGCTGTGTGCAGTTAGGAAGTATTTGGGGATTAACAGAATACTTGAGAAGTAATTGAGAAATGCACTGCACTACGGAATATGATTCTGCCAATCCCTATATGAACTGCACACAGCAAGGAAGCACATTTTCTTCTCAAACATTCTATATATATATACCTGAATCTATAAGTTATTCCTGGTTTAAGATGCTTTTCCTTGTGTTCAGTATTCATTCCACTAAATTACAAAGACAATAGTTATTAGACATTGAAATAAGGTTTTTACAATAATACAGAAAACACTTCTAGACCTTATACGAAATTCTAGCTTTTACATTATTGACAATAGGTGTAAATCAATATACTAGCAACATAACATACACTCTGACGTACCTGTAGATATTACTGAAGCTGGCATTCTTTGTAGCCATTTCAAGTTCAAATTTGCATTCCAATAAATGGCTATTGTTACTTGCTTGATCTGACCATGAAATTCTAATACTTGTACTGTCAATAACATCAACCTTGCAAGGACATAAGAAACTATTGATCCTTGCCATATTTTGACACACACACAATACATACATATAGAACATAGGGAAAAAAGTAAATTACAGATAAACGAATAACCCAATGAGGGAAGTACAAATCTGACTATAAGTCCCATGCAGGGTACTATCCTCAGAATATTATTTTTTAAGATGAATTATAAAATATAGTTAGCATTTAGTGCCAAACACTTGTTTTGTCAACTTAAGAAAAAAAAGTGAATTTTTTTTCAAATTATCTTAGTAAGGCTCTTTTGTCAACATTTACCTCGGGCGCTCTACAAATCTTCAACCCAACTTCTTTCAACTTTTCTGAAAAGTAGAATAGAATAAAATAGTATACACAACACAGAAGATAGAATAGAATGGAATGGGATAAAATGGAATAGAAAAGAATAGCTCAGAAGAGAATATTAACAAGCAAAATAGAAGATGAACAGAATAGAATAAAATAAAAAAGAGTACAATAGAAAATGGAAGAGGAATTGAATATAATGGAATGGGATAAAATGGAATTGATAATTGAATAGAATAGAAAAGAGTAGAGTAGAGTAAAATACAATACCATAGATCAGGGGTTAGGAAATAGAAAAAAATGAAATCCATTCATTTCCCCCACATCTATGGAATAAAGCAATATGTTTCCAGCAAATACATATTCCCAGTAACACATTTATCAACAACATATATATTTTCAGCATTAGTCTGGGAATTAGTCCTGGATTAGTCGGATTATAGTTCAACATGAGTACTTATACCCTGGGATACCAGAAATTGATGGGTTGTAAGCATTCCCAAGAGATTCAAAAGACAAAGACATGGCAGCCATCGTGGTGCCATTAACAATGGATGCTAATGAGAAATCTTTTGTTAAATG